ACCCTAAACCCTTAATCCCTAAACTATTATTAAACCAGATGATCCATGAAACGAGCTCTGTTGATGGGCCGTGCGAGAGCTGGAGCAGATGCAGATGCGAGCAGAGCTTCTTCAGATGGTGCTCCCCCCGCCGTGCTTTAAGATTGGGATGCACTCTTGCAATTGCGAACTTTCGATCTCTAATTATAAGCCGGCCCAGAGTGAAGCGAAGCCACGCACGAGATATTCCAGAGTTCATGACTCAACATCCGGAATTCCTTCTTCAGCATTGGTTGGGATTCCCTGAATTCCGTAGTTTTTGTGCTTCTTGTATATATTGGCAGCATGGCATCCGAAGATCGACCCACTGTTAATGAGGGCAATGCGGCCCGGGCTGCATTATCTACGGCTTGATTTTGAGTTCTGTCTGCATGGATGTCATGCAAGAATATATTTCAATAGTTATGCTAAACCGAGGAAGAAGTGGACGAAATCCGTCGTTGCCTCGAGATCGCTCTGATGAAGATCGATTGGTCTTCGATTCGGAAATCCGAGGCCCCCAAATTCCCTAAAACCATTAGAGTCTTAAAGCGCCTAGAACCTTGCAGCTGTTCTTTTTCCCTTCCCACCAGGCGAAGGATTTGGTGAAGATCGATGCAACCTCGGCCGCCCAAGGAGGAGTCTACGAGCGAGATGCTGCTAAGCTTTGAAATTATCGGGTTCTCGCTCGCACGTTTGACAGTCGGGGATTTGGGGAAACCTTGCCTATGTATCGCTGAGCTCAGATTGTGCTGAACTTTGAATTGCTGCTTCATTTCGTGGTGAAGTACGAGCTGCAGCCACCATCCGTTCTGGCACTGAAAGCCCCATGGCTATGCATTCGTTTTAGGGTCGTATGGATTGTTTCGGGTCTTGATCTGAGGCTGGATTCAAGAAGCTGAATGATGATCGCGGCCTCATCGTGGCAGGGACGATCACTGAAATTCAGAATGTGAGACGCAAGGTGCTCAAAAAAGACATCGATGACGCTTGAACCAATTATTTTTTATTCGGGCTTACAAATTGAAATACTTGAATACTCCACATCGCTTGAGGACTGGGCCCAGGGCCAAGCAGGACGACTTCGAGCTCTTCTCGCACTGATTATTAGGATGACCAAGAGAACCCTTGATGCAAGGACATCGCAAAACTAGCTCAAAGCTTTCATCAGTGCAAGCTGCATGCCAGCATGATCAGGACGCAGGAGATTCAGGTGCTGAAGAATTTGCTTTCGGGCTACGAAGGCTTCGAGGCTCGACCAAGCTAGTCGCGAACATTCTGAACTAACCTTTGAATTACACGCTTGTCAGATGTTTTCTTCTGGGCCATCAGAAGATACCAATATGGGCGAAGCATTGCAAGCAACTAGACTCAATTACGGAATACAAGAAAGCAACGGTGACTCATGAACTTGTGACCCATGGTCTCTACACTCTGAGGCAACACGTTCCAATGGCAAAGGAGCATCCTCCGTGAGCTTGGACTCCCAGCCACAGTGGCAGAGCCAGCAGCCAACGGAGGAGGATCCTTGTTATGGTGGTGTTCCGGGATCTAGGGCTTTCAGGTTTGAGCTGGTGATTTCGAGTCTAGGCTTATGCTTTATATATTGGGTTTAATGCAGACTGTTTTCATCGCTCAGGAGAAAATCGATGAGGAGGTCGCTGGCCGTGGCGATATTTCGATTCATGATGATGAGGAGGATGTGGATCCAGATCAGCTGGAGGCAGAGGAGGAGGAGAATGATGAGGAGATCATGGAGTGAGAGTGAGGGAGAGAGAGAGAGGGAGAATAAACTTGTAATGTGGACCCTGAAACAATGCCAGTCCCATAAAATTATCGAAAATAGCTCCGACCGATAATTATAAAAAAGTATATATATATATATATAGAATATATGCATGATAACTTTATAAATAGCCCCAGAACGCCCCGACAGGAACTTCAGATGCCTACAAAGGCAGACGCAAAGTTGAAGCAGCAGGCCGAGGGTAATTATAAGTAGCATTGCCTATCTGCAGTGTGATGTTTAAAGATTCTCTATCTGAACTCAGGAGGGTATTGCAAAGCTCGCAGCCGACGCAATTCCATCGCCGGGCGGTGCACTGAAGGCACAGCTCGAGAGGATGGATATGCCTGTGGACGAAAGTGTCCTTCTGCTGCAGCATCAGCGAGAGTTGAAAGCGAAAAGTCGCTTGGAAAAGGCACAGCGACAGATGGCCAAGGGCCGAGGCAAGGCTTGCTTTGCAGCATTTCGCGATATTTGGTGTTTGCACATGTACACTAGCACTTAAACTACACTGTGCCAGGAAAGGCAAAAAGCAAGGCAGCAAAGCAGAAGCTGCAAGAGCCAGCAGAAGCACCGACGGAGGAGGCAGAAAAGGGCCATGATGATGATGAGCCAAAGGCGAAAAGGAGGAAGAGCCAGGCAGGACTTCCATGTACACGTAATCACATTATTGAGCTCATGCACATGCATGCACGTGTTTCCTTCTCTATAAATATAAGGCCCAGTTCGTCGTGTCGGATGTTATGGCCGAGCTGCGGGAGATCGCAAATCACCACCAATTCCCGTTGCCAGATCCAGAGCAGCAGACCAAGAGGCCTCTCAGCAAGATCAGGGCGGTTGGTTTGGGAGGGGGTTTGATTTCCGGAGCTAGAAACTCATGAGGTGCTACACGATCAGGGATCCGACCATGCAGGGCCACAGCAGCATCACATTGATGGCAAATCAGTATGGGTTCTATGTGCCAACCGTGGCTCTGGACCATGTGGTGCGAGACTTTGCAAAGGCCTTCGGTATCGCAGCCACTGCTCTGCATGATTAGTTTGGTAGCCTTACCAGACTTGCATTGTGACTGTTAGCACACCGTGGGTACATGTGCATGTCAGGTGAATAAGAACGGGGGCTCCAATGTGAACTTTCGGAAGTTTGGGCCCGTCACGGCATGGAAGCTATCAATGTTGTTTGCCGGCTGGGTGCACCCGCCACGGCCAAGTCCGAATATGAAGGATGAGTGTGCTGTGAAGGAGGCGGTTCAACGCCTTGAGTTGCCGAAGTCGCTCTAGGGTCGCTGAGCCGGTCCAGTTTTGATTAAGGGGAGCCCGTGGTCGTGTCCAGTTCATACCGGAACCAAGTTACAAATAAACGTATTCTCTACATAGATCCAGCTAAAATTAACAAGATCTAGCGATCTACATTAGATGGCTGGATGTGGAACATGGCCCTCCAACTTTTGGTTATGAATCTCTTCTTCCCGGGCCGGTGATCCCGTGATGAGATGTTCCCTGAACGCAAGCAGCGGCTCCAAAGCAACCGTCACCAGAATCTATTACAACCAAAACCTATAGCACCCGCAGCCCAGGTACGCATGCGACTCGACCCTTCCGCCGTCGAGAATGTGCAGCTCGACTAGCAAAATATGAAGCCACAAGCCCTGGAAAGCTACAGTTACCGCGAAAGTATATCGACATCAGAAACGCCCAGAAGCTTGCCTACCCTAAACCCTAACCCTAAACCCGAACCCCAGGCCGCAGCGACAGCGCCGGTTGTGTTCGCCCGGCAGCAACAGCCTGAGATCAGGATCCGGGTCGGTTTTAATTACAGGAGGATAGGATAGGGTGTCGGGGGGGTGACGTTAGGATACTTCGAAGTGTTTCGTTTTTTTTTCGTTGGGGTTGTGGAGCTGGGTTTAGGCTTGTGCGAAATTTTACCAGTGTACGCTAGAATTTCAGGGGCAGGGTCAAGGTTGTAATCTGGGTTACAATATTGCCTAAACTCGAGGCATAACTAGCGGGATATGATCATTGAAGTTCGACCATTCCTCTGGTTTGTAGTTCTTGTTGAGAAGCTTGGTTTGTGCTTGGGGTTGTAATGTATGGTGCTGAGTTCGATCCAGAGCTTCGAATAAAGCCCAAAACCCCAAATCCATAATTAACCCTAAACCCTAAACTCCCGAGTCCCTAAAACCTAGCTTGCCCTGATCCTCAAGCCGAAGCCCTGGATTTTGAGGTTTGGGCGGGTCGAGTTACCCTTTAATTACCCCTAGTTTAATTTAGGGTTTAGGATTTATAAGGTTTATAAGGTTTTAGGGGTTAGGGTTTAGGGTAATTAGGGTTGGGTTTAGGGTTTTTAACCCATATATATAATGAACCCTCAACCCTAAACCCCCAAAACCCTAAAGCCGAGCTTACCCGTTTGTGTGGGTCGAGCTTACCCTAACCCCAACCCTAAACCCATAATAAACCCTACCCCCCCGAAACCCTAAAGCCTAGCTTACCCTGATCCGCAAGCCGAAGCCATGTGTATAGGGTTTTACCCTAAACCCTAAACCCCCGAGTCCCTAAAACCTAGCTTGCCTGATCCTCAAGCCGAAGCCCTGGATTTTGGGATTTGGGCGGGTCTAGTTACCCTTTTAAATAGCCCTATACCCATAATGAATCCTAAACCCTAAACCCCCAAACCCCTAATAATAAAGCCTAACTTACCCGTTTGTGTGGGTCGAGCTTACCCTGTAAATAATTAACCCTAACCCTTAACCCATAATAAACGCTAAAGCCTAGCTTACCCTGATCTTCAAGCCGAAGCCATGTATTTCGGGATTTTGGGGTTTGTGCAGGTCGAGTCGAGTTTCGGAACGTAGTTTTTCAGGCTTTGGGTCGGGGCCATGACCAGGCTTCGACAAGTTTAATGTATTGTTTAGCTAGATTTAGGGATCGGGTTTCGAAACCTCGGGAATAGGATTTAATACAATTGATGGTTATATAGAATATACTGCTGGGCGAAACAATTTCGCATATAGAATATTATATTATATTATTATATTATTATATATATATATATCTATATATATATATATGTATTCGAACCCTGCATGTACATAGGCTGAGCCCTAGAATTCCCGTTAAAGCAAACCCTAAATAACTCCTAACCCAATCTTTTCCTAGATATAGAGGTCGTCTGCGAAACCAAGCAACCATAGCCCGGACCCAGCTAGGTAGTATAATTTAGTAAGATTATTATAATTAGGAAGCTCGAAGCCTCGCTTCGAGTTCTTTGCAGAGCCAGATTATTCGCGGAGCAGAAGTTCAACGCAGACACTTCTCGACTGCTATTGATTCCAGCCGTTGATGCTGGCAGTCATGGTTACGAGCTGTGACGAAGCAATCGTTGTGGGATATATGGAAGACACAGCCCCTTGGGCATACCGCATGCCGGCCGAGGTGATTACCTATTACCGACCAACAAAGTACAGGTCGCAGCCGTGCAAACACTTGGACCCGCAACGACATCTCGTTCCGAAGGAACCTTGCACATCGCCACCGGACTTGATCGATGTGCCACCCCACCCCTATCCTTAACCCCGACCCTAATAGAAACGGTTTAGAGATCCGGGCTGGTCACTTAATTATAATTATTATAATTCAATATCTTTTAATGATATCGTTTGGGTTCCATTTGGCCGTCTCCGAGCCTTATATTCCGGTAAATAATTAATACACCGATCATGAGAAAACTATAATGAACCCAAATTTGGGGTTTAGGGTTTAGGGTTTAGGGTTTAGCTGTCCTCCCAGGCTCCCAGGATGAGTAGCCATTTCGTAGAAGAAGTCGGGGAATCTGCCTGAGATTATCCGGTTTCGTAGGCTAATATTGTAGGGCCTTCAGGTTCTGTTCTGTAATCGTTTTATAATGACGAAGCCCGAGTCCTTTCCCTAATTATATAATCCCGAATCACTGCTTGTAAGTATTGGCTCCGCAGGTCAGCTCTGGGCTTTGTGCCTGAGCCTCTGTTCGGGATACCTGGGGTGGCTTTAGTTTTGGTATAGTGGGTTGCAGGTAGCAAGGGACTATCTATCTGGTTTTCGGATCTTGTATAAAGGTTCATAGTTCTGGGCAATTGGGATTCGGGTTTATTAGGAATTATGGGCATTAGGGTTTAGGCTTTAGCTTGACGGGATCTCGATCAGGGCTTTACGACTGGCTTCGAGGTCAACCTTAATACCCTAGGCTTTTCGGATCTTGTAGGGGTTTATAGTTTCGGGTTAGGGATAATTATAGGGCTTAGGGTTTAGGCTTTATAAGCTTGAAGCTTGACGGGATCTGATCATGAGGGCTTTGCTACTGGCTTCGGAATTCGAGTTCAACCTTAATACCCTAGGCTTTTCGGATCTTGAGGTTTATAGTTCAGGGCATTGAGATTTATTAATTATAGGGCTTATAAGGGTCTAGGCTTTATAAGCTTGAAGCTTGACGGGATCTGATCATGAGGGCTTTGCTACTGGCTTCGGAATTCGAGGTCAACCTTAATACCTTCGGCCCTAAAGAAGACCCTTAACTCTCCCGAGCCAAAATTGCCTCCGTCATCCTCAGTATATGGCCGTGGATCATTAGGATATTCCGAATTCATGCAACCCGTAATTCCCCATATATATAATAATAATAAGAACCCAATTGATGCAGCAGGATTTGCAAGGAGACTGCTTCAGCTCTTCGATTCGTTGCTGGGTAGGGCTAGCAGCTAGATATATATATGGGATTCGGGTTCACGCGAGCTGTTCGGAATTCAAGGGTTTGTTATAACGTAGGGTTACATTAATTTATAACAGGGTTTGGATTTCGTGGTGATCTATATAGGTGGCTAAATTATATATAGTGCCCATCGCGATTTCTTAATAATAAATTATAGTCAATATAGCGGGTACAATTTATAAAGGGTTGAAGGATCAGGGTTATAACTCGGTAGGGGTTGAATCCAATAAGACCGATACCCTAAAGCTTTTTTTATCTGGCCATCGGCCGTTGAGACGCGAAGATCCAGCAGACTGCGGTCACATGGGAAGACACACAGGTCTGCCGCCGTGCACGACCCGCGGCTCGAAACCATCGACGCCGGACCCGACCCGGTCTTCAGAAAACAGCGATGGGAGAACAAGTTCTATCGGCCTTCACAAATCCATGAGGCTGTGGCGACCTCGAGCTCCAACCAAGCACGGTCAAGAACATCATCTGGAAGTTCTTCTTGCATTGGGCTGTGCACAGCTCTCTTGAGCCAAAACCATTAAAACCCCAAAACCTTCAACCCCTAAAACCCCAAGCCCCAATCCAAACCCATACCCCGGCAACCCCGCGACCTTACTAGGGTAAGGGGTTAAGGGATGGGGGTTTAGGGTTTGGGGTTGCTAGGCAGGGTTAACTATCATAAAGTATAAACACTAATATATAGTTGTTTTCAACCCTAATATTAAACCCCATTAAATTAAATTGTATAGATAGGAATAATTAGGTTCCCGGTGGTAGTGTGCCCAACTCCCAGCCAGGGGCGGATAGGGGTTTAGGGTTTGGGATTGCTAGGCTTTAGGGTTAACTATCTTTAAATAATGCCCAACTCCCAGCCAGCTGGCTTCTGCACTTGAAACCATTTGCTTTATTAAGGCATAGCGAAATAGTTAGCATAGATATATCGTATCGTCTGCAATCCAAGCAATCTCAAGCATGGCCATCGTAGACATAGGCCAATATCAGCCCAAGGCAGCTCGCCCCAGGACCAAAGCATGGCCTCATCAAGTTGCACACAAAACTCAGAATCGAACACCTATTGCAGAGCAAATCATCCACAACCCTAATAAACCCTAATATAACCCCCTATATAAACCCTAAACCCACCCAATTATAATAAACCCTTATTAAACCCTCAACTCCCGATATTTATATTGTTTATAGTGATCTGCTGCACTCGGCCGAGGATCTACTGCTCGACATCATGCCGCAGGTCCGAAGCAAAATGGCACGTGGGGTGCTCCAGATCCTTAAACCCTAATCCCTGAA